AACATTCTTCAGGAAAACATATATAAGTTTCATAAACTCCAGATCGCGTCTAGCCAAAACATCCCGAACTGGAACATTAGGTTGTCTATCTCGAACCCGAAGGGAATCGTACAGCTTAGATCTGACTCCACGATGCTCAGTACAAGACCAAATGATGTGATCTGCGTCTTGGTAACCTTGTCCACATTCACAGAGATTGCTGTCCCCCAGCCCAACACGGAACAAGTGAGAGTTTAACGAATAGTGATTGGACATGAATGAAGTCTCGACCCACATCCAACCCTTTGAACCAAGGACTCTTCGACACCTTAGGGATGATCGAATATAGCCATCGTCCCAAACTCCCTTCACTCCATTTATTCTGCCAGCTGGCGAGCGACTGTTGACGATAAATAAAGAAAAATTCATTGAAGGCGATTTGTCGATCGTAAATATCGCCTTGGGCGCTATCACCTTAGCAAGTAGAGCTTCCATATCCCGACGGTTCTCAGCATCCCAGGATTCGGGATATCAAAAACTTTGTTCCCGGGAAATCCCGGGATCCCGGGATAAATAAACAACTGCAAATTTCAATAACCTCTTCTCACATTTTTATTTATCCATTTTATTTTATGCATTTCTGCGAAATCGTACATTTCTACTGATCAATTCTTTTGAAATATGACTTCAAAGTGAAAGCACATTCATGCTAGCATCAGACAAAGAGGAACGCTTCTTGTTACAAAAATTTGATGTATCCGAGAAAACTCGCTCACTGTCGGTAGAGGTAGGCTTAATGGATGTTAAGTTGTCTAACAGTTTTTGCAAGTTGTTAGACAATTTTCCGCTTAGCTCATACAGCATCACCTCCTTTTGGATAATTTTTCCACGGTCTACTGAATCAGTTGATGCGTTGTGTAGGTCAGAATGTTCCTTAATAGCACATTCTAGTTCTTGCTGGAGAGTTAGGTTCTCCCGGTCCATCGATGAATTGATAGAGTTAGATGATTCTCCTGTCTCTGGCCCATGTTCTACCATCTTAAGCAACCAATCAGATTCCTTCATAAATTTCATCAACTGCGACCTGGAGCACGTTGGCATTTCGCTGGTTGAGCCCATGTGTTTAATTTTTAAAAACTTCATTAATGAGACCAGTTCCTTATTTCGTCGCGAACAAATCCTGTCGTAAATGGCGTCATGCAACTCGTTTGCAATTGCGTTGTTCTGCTACTTTAGTTTCGAAAGTAAAAAGCTCAAACTCCCTTCAGCAGTTAGCAGAGTCGCATCTCGTCTGCCTATTGCTTCAGATACCAATCTAATTGGTTGCAATGCATCAAAAAGTATCTGAAGACTATGCATGTCATTGTCAGACAGTGGATTGCGCTGTCCAAGCTCGGTTAGTGTCTCCTTGATGCTTTCATAGACACGTAGGAATCGTTCGACCATCTGTTCAGTGCTGTTCCACCTAGTCGTGACGTCAATTATCAATTGCAGCGGTTTTGTATGAGCAGCGATTATCTTATCGTGCAAGATCCCATTTTTCACCGGCGATTGCCGAAAAATCTTGACAATTTTTCGGACATGCCTCAGAATTTCAGCAAAACGCGTTCGATAAAGCGCTAAAAAATAAAAGTACAACTAATTTTCAAGTAAAGTACATTAATAAAAATAACATGCCAGATGGTGTGTCAGTTTCTTCATCGGAGTATTCGTCATAATTGCAGTCACCGTCGGTATCGTCTGTGGAATCAGTCATAGCAGAGTTGTCTTTCCGGAGGACATCCATCACCGCTAAATGAAGCCCATGGTTGTAGCACAGTTGGTGACAGAACTCTGACTCCCTTCCAAACTTCACCATTACGGCAGCTCCGTCAGTTGTAGCAGCAGCAATATTTGTCCATGGTAAGCCAAAACTTGAGGTAACGATGTTTACAGCCTCTCGGAATTTTTCAGCCGGAAGAGACCCATGAGCACGAACCAGCCCGAGATTGAACATGACCCCGTCGAAGCAGTGCACATTGACATTGATAAACCGTTTATTACTGATGCTGGTCCACTCATCCAAAGTGAGGCTCATACATTCACCCCCTCCTACTCGCTTTGCAATTTCGTTCTTGGTGAGATCTTTTGCTTTATTCCAAAACTCGTGTACCAGTTTCATCACAGCTATGTTTGATTTTGGGAGTTGCATACCACGAGCGGAAATTGACTGGCGGATAAACTCACTTTTCGTTATAGCGTGGATTGAAAATCCGTCAAGTGCAGCAAGCCGTGCTACAATCTCTTCCAAAGACTGACGTTTAATGAATTGCATCACTGTGGTGGATCCTCCAGGTCTCGATACTTTACTTGAGGTTGGTGCAGATGTTGGTTGATGATCTTCAGATGTCGGTCGCTTTAGGGTAATTTTGTGCTTATTTTGCAAGTGGCGTAATAATCCACTGGTGGATGATCCCTTGCAGGAAAGTTGCTGTGGGCATTTGGAACATTGTGCTTTTTCACCATCAGCGGGAAGCTTCGTAAAATATTGCCAAACGTCCGCCATTTCTGCAAATCAAACAAATCAAAAAAAAAAAAAGTATTTCAACTGGATATGAAAGACAAATAACTTACCGTTTTCAAGCAGATTTGGAACTTTTTACTGTCGTATTTAACGACAGCAAAACTGGATCTTTTTCGAGGTTGGACTTTTCGGGGTTTCACTTCTAAATCACATTCTCGATCGTAGTAGGCGATCAGTCTCGCTTGCCGGTTTTGCTTGTTCCCTTGGTAACCGTCGAACGACAAGAGGGCTTGCTGGCTCGTCGGTCGGATGATCGGCTGATGATTTTCACTGGTATATACGGTGCTGCGTTCTTTACGGAATCAGACTGGAGAATGACCCACATGAAATATGCACCCTCTTTAAATAGCCGATAGCTTTTGCACTTCAACCAATCATAATTCGCAAAGGTGAATTCTTTCTCTCATTGAAGATTTGCTAATATTTTTATTACTGCTAATATTATTATATTTATAAATGAAGTAAAAATCCAGTAAATCAATGGAAGCATGGTTCTTTCTTTTTGTCTTGATAAAAATAACTGTATTATTTTCAAATTTGCATGCACCCATCATAACTTTGTCCAATATTAATCAAGAATCAAATCAACAAATGAAAACGAATAATTAAATGATGACTTGTTCCACGTCATTTGCGAATAATTATCCTACAGTGGAACATAATTTGTGTATAAAATATGAATTAAAAAAATTAATCCCGGGATGAACGGGATCCCGGGTTTGAAAACCTTTTTTCCCGGGATTCGGGAAACCCGGGAAATGAAAAAATCCCGGGATTTTTCATCCCGGGACATCCCGGTATGGAAGCTCTATTAGCAAGTGAGTCCGCCTTCTCATTGCCCGGAATCGAGCAATGAGATGAGACCCATGCAAAAGTGATGACAAAAGATCTTAAAGGTAAAGCACCTAGAAGACCTCGTATTTTCATGAGCAAAAAGGAGTAGTGCTTTACCAGCCTCAGAACTGAGGCTATCCGTAAAAATAAAGTAGTGTTTTGGTGGTTTCTACCGTTTAATGTATTGCCGCCAGCTCAGCAACATATACGGAACAAGGAGCTTAAAGCATTCGAGAGGCGCTATGAAATTCGTTATAAATACCAAAACCAGCGGGCGCCTCTATTAGTGATCCATCTGTGAAGAACGATTTTGCGGAATCAACTTGGCCATACTTTTCAGTGTTTAATGACGGAACAATCATGGACCGATGATGTTCTGGGATTCCACGAATCTCTTGCGTCATAGATCAATTAAAACTAACTGAATAGACGAAGTCGGAGAAGCATACACGATGAGGATTATGCTGTGAAGGGCTGACATCCTGTGTTATGTACACGTAGTACATAGGCATGAAACGAGTTTGAGGGTTGAGCTCAAGAAGCATCTCAAAGTTTTCGATTACCAGTGGTTCATAAATTCACAACAAGTGAGGAGCCTGAGGGACAATTCCGAAAACTGATCTAATAGTGGCAACATGCCCGCCAACACTTCATGCTGGTAGACATGCATTTAGGTAAAAATCTGCGCCCCTAATAAGCATGCCCAGGGTGAAATTGAAAAATAATAAATTTGGTATGGCTAGCACCCCTGGCACAATGGTCCCAAAGCCTTATTTAGGAAGACAAAAATGCTTGCGCTAAAACCGTTGGTTTTAGGCATAAGATGTCTTGGGGAAAGTTTCTTCATATTTTTTTGGTCAATATTTTCATGTTAGTGAAATTATTGTGATCCATAAAATTGGTGAATTGAAAATGCGAACTTTTTTATTGTTTGAGATAGATCAATGCAATGTTCTATAAAGTTGCAGAAAAATCAATTTGCAACAACTTTGCTCAAGACACCAAATTTCCATCTCACAAGCACAAAAATCTCTCTCGCAGTTTTCCCACCATAAATGTACAAAACAACGATCTTTCGAATGGAATTAAAAGTTTGCAAATCGGTTTGCTCTTTTTAGAGATATTGACAATTAAAAAGTGCCATTTTTTAAAAGAAAAAATCCGTTCACTTTCGAATAAAAAAAGATAGAAACTTAGTTGCTTCAGCAAAAAATACTTGTCATTGAAAGTTCTAAAAGTGTCTAGAACATAGTTTTTAAGAGAAATGAAAAGATATTCATAGAAAGCCAATTTTTCAGGGGCCACCCTAACCTGCTTGTTTAAAAAAAATCATAACTCATGAACCATAAGAGATGGAAATTTGGTGTCATGGGCAAAGTTGCTGCAAATTGATTTTTCTAGAACAGTGCATTGGTCTATCTCAAACAATAAAATAAGTTCACATTTTCAATTCACCAATTTTATGGACCACCCTAATTTCATAATTTCACTAACATGAAAAGATTAGTCAAAAAATATAAAGAAACTTTCCGCAAAACACCATATGCCTAAAACCAACGGTTTTAGCGCAAACATTTTTGTCTTCCTAAATACGGCTTTGGGACCATTGTGCCTGGTAAACATGCTACACTCAAAAAATTGCACACGTTTGTTCGAAGTGTTTAAACACTTGATTTTTTAAATGCACAATCACATTTACTTTAAGTGTATTTCATCTTGGTTCAATGTGTTATACACGTTAATTTCTGGTGTTTCAAACTTTGAAATGTTGAAAATCATTCACTATATATTCAAGTGTATAGCACATTGAATCACACTACTGTTCAAAACAGATGGATTTAAAGTGTTTTGCATTTCAATACGATGTGAATTGCGTGCTCAGAAAGGTAAACATCGAAAACAAGACTTGTGACTTTATCCTATCAACCCGTCTCATATATGAGAACAACCGTGCCACAGTGAGATCGAACGAAGACTCCGGCAGCAGTACACCCCAATAGTTCATGATCGAATCCCAAATCAGATCCATTAAAAAGATATGTGACAGATCTGGCCTCTGGCAGTTTTGTTTATATATTTGTCGATACATTTTTAGAGTCGGTAAAGTAGAAGTTGATAAAGTAGAATATTGTAGAATATTGAACTATGATGTGCAAAGCTATTGATATCACCATATGAGGCACATAGAATCCAAGTGTGTCACAATTCAAATCCATAATGTTCGGGCATGGTTCATAGCATAAAATTCACACATGAAATGGATGTGTTTCACAATATGCGCAAAATTAAGTGTGAAACATATGATGATGACGTGTGGAATTTTTTGAGTGTATGAGAAAAATTGATCAAAACCGTTAAATTTTAAGTGGCTATCGCCCTTGAAATGAATTGCGCCCTTAATCAATATGTTCAGGAAATAATAAAAAATATTCAAAATGGCTAGTAGACAAGTTCATGGAAAAAATTTAAAAAAAATGTTATATTTAAAATGGCTTGTACTCCTAGCTAACATGCTCAGGAAAAAATCTAAATACTTTTAAATGGCTACCGCCCATAAAAATCATGTTAAGGGAAAAATTGAAAAAAAAATGTACTTGTCAGGGAAAATTGCAAAAACAAAATTGCGCCCTTTGTAGAAAACATCAGGGAAAAAAAATAAAATGATAAACATGACCAGATAAAATTTGATCAAAATCGATAAATTTGAAGTAGCTTGCGCCCCTGAAATTCATAGTGTCCCTGGTAAACAAGTTCACGGAAATTAAAAAAAAAATGTTAAATTTAAAATGGCTTGCGTGCCAAGGTCGTGGTTAGTCAAAGTTAGTCGGCAACAATCCTTTTATGAAAATATCATGTGAAAAATTGTCACCACCAATTATGAAAAGGGAGGACCAAGGTGAAAATGTCATATGAAAAATGGTCACCTCCAAGTAAAGGTCCAACCGTGCATTTGTCCGTTTAGAACTAAACATTATTTCTCAAGTCAACATGTTGTATCGGTCTCATTTTCATTAGCCTAGACCACACACTGATTTCACCTTGCACAAAGAGTGAAATGTGGTTATTGATCAGATGCAGTAGCTAACAACAAGCCAACCACCACTTGCAGAAGCGACGTTCCGCTTAACAACCATCTGTTAAACAAGACTCACGACTGCCGTCCATCCCCGTCCCCATCCTTGCTGCAGCAAATCAAGGTCACCGAGCTGCGCACATTAGCATTTCCCGATCCAAAGTAATCAGTAAACCCTTCCCACATCATGAATCTATTTACTATCTCTGTTTACTTTCTTTCCCCTACCCATCGTAACAGCGTCACGGGCAACCATGATTAACCAGCAACTAGAAGCCAATTAATCATCATCAACCGGCTCTAAAGTGATGAACAAGCTCCACGTTTAATAGGAAATAAATAAAAATAAATACCAACAAACCAGCTCCACGGAGCTGACAGAGATTGAACTTCAAGAGGCTCGACCGATAGCCAAAGCCAAAGCTGCAGCAGACTCGAATCGATGACTGATAAGCGCGGTGCGATGATGCACTGGCTTTCTTTCTTCCAGGTGGTGTGAGGTTTATTTATTCTCTGAATTAGTAGAGTAGAGAGTACGATCCAAGATACACTGCATACCTATATGAATAAGTTTTTCTGGTTATTCTGGAATTTGTGAGCTGTTTCAAAGTCAACTTCTTTCATCATTCATTGAGAGTTCTTTTGCATATTGTATTTGCTACTTCGTTACTAATCAAACTTATAGTAATATTTGAAAATTTCAACTACCAGCGCGAGCAGGTTTTTAAATATAAAATTAAAAGTTCAACTATCTGAAATTAATTTTTTTTTCCGTCGATTTTGTTTTCCGTACTTATTTAGTACCAATGCTACTGACGCCAGGGAGGCAGCTCGCACATCTGGACTCTACCTATCGACCCATCAACTCATGGACCGGGGATCGATGACGTTACTTCTCTTCCGAAGGAAGGTGTGATCAGAGCCTCAGAAAATCCTGGCGGCGCCGACTGGGATTGAACCCAGGCCCTTTGGGGGTGATAGACGATATAATTTGCATCGTTCTGATGAATGCAAGTTTCATTGAAAATTAATTAAAGCCTGAAAATTGCACCACAAAGGTGCATGGTGAAAAAATCTTCCCTGGAAATTTTTGGTGAATGGAGGAGCATGCTTTATTGAAAATTTCTGGTGCAAAATTTGCACCACTCTGATAAATGAAGTGAATGGAAAATTTCTGGTGGAAAACTTGCACTGGTCAGGTAAATGAAGGCACAAGCTTTATTTAAATTAAGCTATATTGAAAATTTCTGGTGGAAAATTTGCATCGTTCTGATCAATTTAAATTTTCTGGTATAAAATTATATGGGGGCAAGTTTGTATTGAAAATTTCTGGTGTAAGATTTGCAACAATCTGCTGCATGGAGATTCCTGATGTTAAAATTGCACAGTTCTGGTGAATGGAGGGGCAAGCTTTATTGAACATTTCTGGTAGAAAAACTACAACGTTTTGGTGAATGGGCGGGCAACTTAAACATGACTTCCGAGGAGAACCTCAAGGGTATTGAATTCAGATGACAGTTTTTAAAAGAAAAGATTTCTGGGGATGATTCCATGAAAATTATGCGAATAATTTCTAGAGAATCCTGCAGATAGTTCCAAGATAATTTCGAAAAGAATACCGAGAGAATCAAATTTTGAATGAAATTCCAAAGGGATGTTCAGAAAATTTCAAGCGAATTCCGAAGATAATTTCGAGCTCATTCTGGGAAAAATTTCTGGAGAATGCAGAGGAAATTCTTCTGAAACTCTAGGGGTTCCAACGTTTGGTGAGAAAAAAAGGTTCTTAAATATTCTGAGAAGAACCTCAAGGATATTCAATTCTTATGAGAGTTCTAAAATATTTCTGGGGAGAATTCAAAGAAAATTCTGCGGATAATTTCTATTGCATCTTACGGATAGTTCCAAGCTAATTTTAAAAAGAATGCGGTAAATTGAAAAGGGATTTTTAGCAAAACTTCTGAGAAGAATTTCTAAAGAGCTCTTAGGAGAGTTCTAAAAAAATCCGAGAAGAACCTCAAGGATATTGAATTCTGTGGACAGTTCCAAAGGATTTCTGGGTAGTATTTCTAGTGAATCCTGCAAATAGTTCCAAGATAATTCCAAAAAGAATACCGAGAAAATTGAATTTTGAGTGAAATTTCAAAGGGATTTTGAGGAAAATTTCAAGGGAGTACCGTTAATTTCTGGCTCATTCCGGTATGTTTTTTTTTTAGGAAACTCTCCTGAAACTCTAAAAGAATTCATGTTGTAATGGAGATTTGTGCTGTTGGATGCGGGAGGAGATTGGAGGGCGGGTGTTTGACGCATAGAGCCTGTCAATTTCGATTTCAGAGTGCCGCAGTCGGCGGTTTTATGATTCGTGAGTGCTCGCGATTCATAGAATCGTTGATTGTGACTGCAAGTGGGTTTGGCGGGTTTTGTGTGTCGGACGCTTGCTTTTTGGCCTCTTCTTGTGTCTAACATGTGCAGAGTATCATTATAGCGTCTAATGGTTTTAAAATTCCTGGATGCGTGAAATTTATTTGTGAGAATATCTTTTTGAGATTTTAGTAGTCACGTTTTGTTTGTAGTTTATATTTTATTTCTTTCATGTAATTATCGTAAATAATAGTTATTCAACAATAGATAGTTCATTCATAAATTCGTACTTTGACGCGAAGCGCTGTGGATTATGAGATGCTCGATGACCCTGGAGGGATCGATTTTGCTTACTGAGCAGAAAATCATGGATTTAACCCCAAGCTCTTCCACAGCACAATAAATCGCCACCATCATTTGTATATTTGATATTGAATATTAACCTCAGAAACTATTTGCATACCAAGCGAAAACGTAGCCCTGTATTATCGCGAAGCGTTATGGTTCTGAGATGCTCGATGACCCTGGAGGGATCGTGTTTGCTTACTGAGCAGAAAATCATGGGTTTAATCCCAAGCTCTCCGTCATGACTCTTAAAATTCATGATCACTAAACAAAATGAACATGTTCTTTCGATAGCCAGCTATCGAGAGATTAAATAAACAACAAATAAACAATACATACTTTTGGTTGCATCGCCAACTTGAGGTGAATCCTAACCGAATACCCTACCCAACTCTTCAACTCCGTAGCACTTATGAGGGTGTCGCTAAGTCGGCGGCCTCTCGTTAAGTAAGTACTACATCAACATTTCCTTTCCTATCCCTAGTTATGGTAAAGATGGGCGTGGCCGGGAATAGCGACAGTCATGCTTCTGTTACTCTTGTTTAGATTGGAACCAATGTTTACTCCCCAGCATTATTCCTGAAAGTAGTCTAACTGAGAATTTCAGAAGAGACGTGAGTGTCGCTAGTATCCAATCTACGAAGTATATCATAACAACGCTAACGCTAACGCTAACGCTAACTCTCCTGAAACTCTAAGAGAATTTCAGTTCAAAGGTGTTCTGAGTCAAGAAGAGTTCTAAAAATAATTCCAGATGACTTCTGAGAAGAATTTCAAAAGAGCTCATAGAGTTCTAAAAATTTCGAAAAGAATCTGTTCAAAGTTTAAAGACAGTCACGCTAGTGACCAAAGAGCATCCTATTAGATGATTTTGCGGGTGAGAAATACTAGAATATGTATACTTAAATTGAAATCATCTCAAACACATGCATTAAGAGCCACCTTAAGTTTATGGAACGTAACAGTGGATACATCATCGAGAAGAATATCACATGCCAACAAATAAGCCTTGAATAGTTTAATTTTAGCGTCAGTTCTAAGAAGTGATGATTTATTTATTTAACATTCATGTGACTGTTGTCTACATGAAATAATCTTAAAAACTTTACCATGCATGCATTTCTAATTAGAGTCAAAAAGCGAACAGAAGGTTCCCCAAATTCAAACAATTCTACAACAGCCGTGAACGTACGCATCATAGTTGTTAGTGGTTCGTTGTAACATAACGCTATTCGATGGTAACGTGGTTGAAGTAGGGTACTACTTCGTAATGTTCTCGACGATACTCGGATATCTAACAGCGATATAAGACTGCCCAGAAGCACCCATTTATCAGCAAGGCAAACAAAGCTAAA